CGCCCCGCCACGCCCCGCCACGCCCCGCCACACCCCGCCACACCTCAAGTACCAATATCGGGTCGTCATCCACACAAGACTGATTGTTAATTCCTGAGGTACGCACTCACGGGCGCGGTTACCATGTTGTGACTCAGGGGCAGCAGCGGCAACGTGTACCCGCCGGGCACCCCACGTAAACCACCCGTGAGCCACCCGGTCCAGCCGCGGGTCAGAGCGTGTGCAGGATACTCTGAAGATCCGACAGAAAGACAATCCCACTATTGCAACTGCAGGGAAAAAAAGTGTGATACATTAACGTGTCAAATTAAAGTTCTAGAGATCTTTCACAGGCACGTGCTTAGTTTCTCAGGCCGGGACCCCACCTCACGTAGGCTCGTTGGAAAGAAAATTTCACGAGAAATCTGATAGCCCAATTGGAAACGAAATTACAGAGCTCAGCTCAGAAAGTATTCCACGCATAAACTGGAATGTGACCGTCGAATGCATCAAAGGCGTGACATGTGTCACACTTGTTTTCCCAGTGATGTCCCGCTGCTGGTTGCAACCAGGCACACTGATAAACTAAGTGTTCAACTGCTCAACACTTGTAAGTGTGCAACTGCAAGTTGAATACTGGCAAGTGTGCAACTCCGTAGTTGTACACTTGCAAGTGTTAAACTAGGTAGGTGTGCACTTGCAAGTGTGCAACTCCTCGGTTGAACACTTCCTTAGATTGGGCGCTTACTGTGTAGGAAGTGCTCAACCGAGGAGTTGCACACTTGCAAGTGCACACCTACCGAGTTGCACACTTGCAAGTATTCAACTTGCAGTTGCACACTTAGTTTATCAGTGCAGGGGATCTGTGGGTGGCGTGGCCTGCCCTACAGTAAGTACAGGTCTGCCCGAGGGTTTGCCGCTACTTTCCAACACGCCGTGGCTCCTGCTCACAAACGTGGAGTATAATGACAATGTTGCTCACTTCAAGTTGGTGACATCAATCGAAAATGGCAACACTTTTCTTGCAGGTCTCAGTGTGTTGTCACAAAACTTTGTGGAATGTCACACTTTTGTTTTCTGATTGGCCGTCACGTCTAACTATCTGTCTGCCGACGCGTTGATATGAGACGCACCGGTCTGTCGCTAATGGGCGGGGCCCGCGCGTGGCGGAAAGGGCCGAAGGGCAACGGTGGGGCGGGGTGCGAT